TGCTCCCATTCTTACTTCCTAATTTATTTATTTAAGCATTTTTACACTTGTTTTAAAACTAGTCAGTAGAGATATATTTTAGAACTAGTTAATAGAAATATATTTAAACAAATATGGGTTTATACTGCAATGTAGACAACAGTAAATACGGTGTTACTAACAAATGTGAGTTTCGTATTCCAATGTAGACAACAGTAAATACGGTGTTACTAACAAATGTTGGTTTCGTATTCCAATGTAAACAACAGTAAATACGGTGTTACTAACAAATGTTGGTTTCGTATTCCAATGTAAAACAACAGTAAATACGGTGTTACTAACAAATGTGGGTTTCGTATTCCAATGTAGACACCAGTAAATACGGAGTCACAGAAAAATATGACTTTATACTCCATTGTTGACAATGATAAGTAAGGTGTTACTGACAAAATTGGGCGTGATATTTCAATGCTCTAGATCATCTAGAGCATTATAAACAAACGAATACTTTAACTTTCTTATATTAACGTGAAAGCTAAGCATATGAAGAACTTAATGTTGTTAATGTAGATTTTCATCATTTACAGTAAATATCAAAGTAGACACAAGAACTGTAGGTTGAACCTGAATGTTGTTGAAGTTGATTTCGGTATAAAATGTATCTTCAATAGATAAACAGATATTCTGTCACCAAACCACTCATTTTACACAGGACAAACTTTACTCCTCTCACCGAATCACAAACATATATAATATTATACTAAGAATCCTCCAGTTATTTCTGAATGATTTTCGTGCTTTTCTAAGCAAATTTTACTTCGGTCATTATGATGGAAATAAAACAATATTTACAGAGAAAATAGACACAAAAACCTGAATGTTGTTAATGTAGATTTTCATCATTTACAGTAAATATCAAAGTAGACACAAGAACTGTAGGTTAAACCTGAATGTTGTTAATGTAGATTTTCATCATTTACAGTAAATATCAAAGTAGACACAAGAACTGTAGGTTAAACCTAAATATCAAAGTAGACACAAGAACTGTAGGTTCTGTAAATGATGAAAATCTAAATGAACAACATTCAGGTTTAACCTACAGTTC